GCTTAATCAGGCTAAACTACAGATTTTCTGCCTGTAACTATTGTGTCGGCTTTACTTAAGCTGGACGTTGAGGATTCCTTTCGTAACCCTTATTTCTTATAATAATTCTCAAATACGTGTCTGTGTATCACCGTTACCTTCGGATGTCTGACTCCGACATTGTGGGAAGCTCCGTGTTTGCGTGCAGTATCACACACCAGATAATTAGTACTCTTTATCGCACAATGCTGTGGGACCAGTGATTTTATTTTTATTTTTTAATCCTGTTTCCTATCAGCCATTCCACTTTTTTTGGGGGGGGGATAGTGATAGTTTAGGAAAAAATAGATGTGTATTTAGTGTAGAAGGAGCGTGTTCAGAATGCGTGTGGGAATGAAGAGGAGGTTTTTGGAGTAGCGCCGTCGCGGACGCTGCCCACAGCAATGTACAGTGCAGGTGCTCTGCTGTGAAAATGGGAAACATTTGTCGGGAATGTTGCCTCTACATGCGCGTTTTTCCAACGCAGAGAGCGTATCGTCACAGTGTAACACGGCGAGGGGTGCGGAGCAGAAACCGCCCTCCGGCATCTGCGCCTCCTCGCCGGCTCGCACGCAGTTACCATACAGCGCGCGCCGCGGCGACGGCGTTACCGTGGCGACCACCTCGCATTCCTGTCAGCCGTCTGCTAAATATAGCCGCTGGCTAACTAGTGCCGAGGCTGGCTAATAAGTAAACACTGCCCTAAATTTAGCGAGTATCTTGTGGTCCAGAATCACGGTGTTGTCGGCGATTTTCGCGCAGGGGGCGCAGTCACACGCAGCCTCGGCGTGTCAGGGACAGCAAAAGAGGCTGTGTCTGTTCTGCAAATAAACACGCAAATGCAGTGCGCCGTCCTTCTCCGGCATCCTGTGGCGACGCCCGCAGCTTTGTGTGTTCAGTAAGAGGCATTGAAGGTCGAATTCTTGCTCTGCATCATGTCTGCCTGTTGGGTTGGGCTGCCTGTTCATTTTGTCCTACACCTCATTCACCAATGGACCCTCGCGGTGGGGGTGGGGTCACAGGGACAAAGGCACCATCCTTGCTATTTTTAGGTCAGACACTGAAAGCCTCTAGCATGAAGCCAAAATATTAAGCTTGCAACAACATTTCAGTCCCACAGTTGCACTGTCCCTCATCCTGTGGCCCCTGTGCCCCCCCCCCAAAAAACTAAAAATGCCAGAAGTCTTGTATTTTGTTTGGTTACTTATGGTTATGGTTAGGGCTGGGTAGGGGTTAAGGTTGTCATGTTGGGGTTAGAGTTTTCCCCATTGAAATGAATGGCGAGTCCCCACAAAGCTATAATTACACATCTGTGTGTATGGGTGTGTATCTGACCTATGATGGACCGTTAGCCTGTGTTGGTAATAACCCTCCCCCCTGACCATGATAAGACGTTATATGATGGTTGGATGTTCTCTGTCGGAATTTGTGCAGCATTCAGTATTAATATGGCCCGTGGTAATCTAATCTCTCAGATATAAATGTTTTTCTTGAGGACAAAAGAGCGACGTTTCCTGCCCATCCCTGTTATTTTCTGTCCTGCTTCTGTCTGGCAACCAGGCAATATATATGTTGTAATTTCTGACCTTATATGTGAAAGGTTAGAAATGTGAATTATGTTAGGAGGCACTGAAGAATTGCACTAACCAAGCAAGCCGTGTATTTGGA